AGAAACAAGCCAAAGGCAGAAAATGTGTTTAACATGTCTATTATGCTTAGTACTTATATATATCTAAGTAAACCTATTGTATGTACATGTTTTTATTTTTCTAATGTACAATTTATAGTTTTAATTACAGATTAAAAAGTACTCAGCATAATAGACATGTTAAACACATTTTCTGCCTTTGGCTTGTTTCTTTGTGTATGTCTTTGTTTGTGTGATGTTTCAACAATATTCTTTTACAGATAATTGTAGTACTTGCGATTTATCTCCAGGTCCGCATAAATGGATTAACTGGAAACATCCAGTTTGATCAGTATGGAAAGAGGATCAACTACTCTGTAACAATCATGGAGCTGAAAAACAACGGACCTGTCAAGGTAAGGGAAGTCTGAGACTGTCATCATTCCCATACAATGGTGAAATTAGTTATTTGCATTTAACTCATATATGTATATGTATGTGTGTACATATATAATTTGTATGTATTGTCATCATTGTATGTTCTCATACAATGGCAAAATTGGCTCTCTGCATTTAACCCATCCACCATCAGGCTGAGCAGTGGGCGACCTTTGGAGGCGCCCAGGGAGCAACTGGGAATGGGGTGTCTTGCTCAGAGACACCATCATATGTGCAATGACTGGGGATCGAACCGGGACCTTCGGGTCCTGAGTCGGCTGCCCTGCCCCTACACCACCTATATATGGTGCCAAGAGCGCATATGGACACCCTTATGTTTGAACATGGTGTTCGTTATTGACAATCCATGACGAGCACAGAAGTCCAATAACAGAACACCACTCGGGTTCAGATCAGGGTGGCTGTTTCTCCCAGCCACACCCCTCCAGGTCTCACTTTCATGTCCCACAAGAGCAATGAAAGGCCCCCAGCAGAACAAGGGAGTCCCCAGGAGGGGGACTCTCAAGTACTCTCTCCAAGGACTCCTGAAAGTTTGAGTAATCTGAATTGCTGTTTGGTGCTTAAGCACAAACTACAGTCAGATTCTGTCCCCACACACGTAGGTGGAGGGAGGCTACCCTCTCATTCACCGGGGTCAACTCTAACGTACAAGCACTAAGATGTGGGGCAACACGTATGCCCACTGCTGCTCGGCGCTTCTCACCAGGGGCAACTCCAGAGTGGAATAGTGTCCAACCCCTCTCAAGGAAACTGGTTCCAGAGTCAGAGTTGTACGTCTAGGTGAGTCCGACTAGTTCTAGCCGGAACCTCTCAACCTCAAACACCAACTCAGGCTCCTTCCCCACCAGAGAGGTGACATTCCACGTCTCGAGAGCCAGCTTCTGTAGCTGAGGATCAGACCGCAGACCGTCAAGGTCCCTGCCCTCGACCACAACTTATCCCGCATTGCACCTTACTCTTTTGGCCCCTCCCACAGGTGGTGAACCCACGTAAACAGTCAGACAGCAGCTAAATGAAACCCCACTGATTCTTCATAAAGGACATAGCGGTGCCTGAGCCGTGTCACAAGACTTGTTTCCTAGAACTTTCCTACACATACACACACATGCAGGGAAGATATTTTTAGCTCAAGATAAAACATAGTTTCTCTTGTCCACAAGTGAGAACAGAACAAAGTTAGATTGGGGCAGTGTGATGTGGATGCTTGTGGTGTATTTAATGTGTTCCAGTTAGTGAAATAACAAAAGTTGCTCAAATACTCTGAAGATTCTTGCAATAGATATTTAATCTCATTGAACTGGAGAAGGTCTCAGGGAGGTTTAATTGTTGCCCCAGCAACTCAATATTGAATGAGAGCAGAAATAGATGGAGGATGTCCATCCATCCATTCATCCATCCATTTTTTCCCGCTTATCCGGGGTCGGGTCGGTGGGGGTATCAGCCTAAGTAGGGAGACCCAGGCTTCCCTCTCTGGAGGATGTTTGTTTGACAAAATGTTTCTCCTGTAAAACCTCTTTGTGTTGTGTCCTTTTAGATCGGCTATTGGAACGAGGTGGACCGGATGGTGCTGACAAAGTCAGATCCCAATGATACAATGGGAATGGAAAACAAGACGGTCATCGTTACAACTATTCTGGTAACACACTCTCACACTTTCATGAGATATGATGTGGACTAACACTCATCTGATATAGAAACAGGAAGAGTAAAAAAAAACCAGAACTTCAGTCTAAAACATGAATTAACTGTGCAGTTTGTATGGCTGAAAACATGCAGCTGAGGCACATTGGTTAGAGTGGTCATCCTCCAATTGGAGAGTTGGTGGTTCAATTCCACCAGCAGTCACATGCTGAAGTGTCCCTGGGCAAGACAATGAACCCCTCATTGCCCTGATGTGTGTCCCATCAGTGTATGAATATGTGTGTAGTAGAGTGCTGTATGAATGTGTGTAGTAGAGTGCTGTATGAATGTGTGTAGTAGTGTTGTATGAATGTGTGTAGTAGAGTGTTGTATGAATGTGTGTAGTAGAGTGCTGTATGAATGTGTGTAGTAGTGTTGTATGAATGTGTGTAGTAGAGTGCTGTATGAATGTGTGTAGTAGAGTGCTGTATGAATGTGTGTAGTACAGTTTTGTATGAATGTGTGTAGTAGAGTGTTGTATGAATGTGTGTAGTACAGTGTTGTATGAATGTGTGTAGTACAGTGTTGTATGAATGTGTGTAGTAGTGTTGTATGAATGTGTGTAGTCGAGTGCTGTATGAATGTGTGTAGTAGTGTTGTATGAATGTGTGTAGTAGAGTGTTGTATGAATGTGTGTAGTAGAGTGTTGTATGAATGTGTGTAGTCGAGTGCTGTATGAATGGAGTTAAGTCTTGTCTCTATGTGCTGCAATACTTTGGACAAAGTATTCTAGAGTCTCTTCTTTCATTGTTCTTCATCTCCTCAGCCACACAGGCTTGCATCCTTGTCAGTCGAGCTTTGAACATTAATAAGTAGAAACTATCAAAAAGTTGTTGAGCCGTTCGGGGCTTCTGGTGTCCTTTAATAAACCTCCAGTATATTCCTGTGTACATCAGTCCACCGAGGTTTGTGCGTACTGGATTAGAGCCTAAAAGGACGCCCGCAGGGCATGTCCATGCAAAGCTCAATTTTTACGACCGCGTACTTGTACTCTGTGTCACCCATAAACTGCCCGGTGACAAACTGTGTAGTATGTTTCACCAAAGTTTTAAATTCCTCTTCTTCATCCCTGATCTGGTTTAATGGCCTTTTCTTTTATTTTTTTTAATTTTTTTACAAGAGGCGATCTCTTCCTCCTCCGTTGATGCTATGACTGAAATGGTGAGAAATGAAGGAATTTTTCACGAGAGAATTGAAATTAGGTCCAGCGTGGCTGCAGGATGTTCTGGAGATTTCCTGATAGGCTGGTCTGATGTGTGGGCTGCAGGGCCAGCGCTCCCTGAATTTTTTCATTTTTTAGAACTTTTTATTAACAACATATAAACACAGAACACCGCTGCGGCTGCCAGCTCTTGTTTTTTTTTTTTTTTGACCTGTCAATCAATCCAGTAGGCGTGTCAGCAAATGACCAATCAGCGAACTCGATTTGTCCCGAAGCTAAACGCCCCTTGTCTGTGGAGCTGACTGCAGCTGCTCAGGGTGGACGCTCGAGAACGAAGTCTGAACCCTCTGTGGACAGTGCGCACAGTTTCCGCGCGTCTGACAGGACGCAGGAGTATACTGGGGGCTTACCTCACCTTGTGCAAGAGGCAGAGTGTCTGTGATGGGATCCTCTCTGTTTGAAAGTCCACTCCAAAGATTTGTGTCCCAACTTTGTTCTCAAAGGTGTCATAAAGTTCCTGCTCATTAATTCAGGTGTAACTCCAACAATGTTCACTCAGGTCATCTGGACGGTTTCTGTTTAGTCACTTGTTTCTCCAACCATCCCTACAGCAGTTAGGATGTATTCCTGTAGACTTCTGCACCGTAGCTCTTCTCTGACACACATCCATGCCTAGTGACCGTGGATAAGAACCACACTGATGATAACTAATCATTTCTGAAAAACTGGCTTTACAATTTTCATTAAAGAAATGAATGTAGATCGTGAACATACTGTGGCTGCCGAGGTGGGTGAAAATCTACTTACTGTGGGTGGACAGCTAAAAATGTGCATGGCCAAATAGTGTTTTTAAAAGTTTTGCAAGTTGTTCACATAGACTCGTTTTTAAAAAGTGGTCAGTGAAAATCCAGCTGCACCTCTTACTTGATTAGAAACATTCAAAGTTCAGTGAGACTGCACCTGAAAATCACCAATTCTGAGTTGCTAGCTCGTCTCCAACGGTTGCGGTCTACTGAGATTTCCGCTGAAGGCATGCAGGGTTGTGTGCATGCTCCACGTGCATTGGCTCAACCAGTGGTTAGATGTATGTCAAGTGGATTCATTTTTACCCGACTAATACAGAGCATCAGTGGGCGGGTGCAGATAGCTGATGAAAGCTACGGAAAAAAACTGGCTCGACAATTTTCATTTAAAAAATGAACTTCGTTAGTTCATCAACATATAGTTTTATAGAAACTGTATGATGTGTGGGTGTGGGGGTGTGTGTGGGGGGGTTTACAAACTGGTCAAGTATACAGTAGTTGGAAAAAAGGTTTCTGAAAATGTTGAGTTTAAAACTATTTGTATTATTATTATTATTTTTTTTCATTTCCCCTTTATTTATCCAGGTAGGCTCAATGAGCCACGAGAGCTCATTTTCAGGGGGGGCCTGTTTGGGGGCGGATTGGGGGGGGGGGCTTGCTCGGGGGCCCAGGGTGGGGCGAATGAGGGTGGAGGCAGGTGTGGGTGTTTTTATCTTTTCCACACACATATTGATGTTGACGGTACCGGGAGGTGAACCTGCAACTTTTGATCACAAGCCCATCTTCTAACCTCTGCGCCACCCCCCACCCCTCCAAAAAATTACATATACAAAATTACACAAATAAAAAATTACATATAAAAATAAAAATATAAAAATAAAATAAAAATAAAATTATAAAAATAAAATTACATATAAAAATACATTATGTTATGAGTTGTTTGCATTTTAAATTCAAACAGTGAAAATGTTAAATGTGTACAAACATTTTCTTCCTTACACAATTAACTACGATCGAAAGTTCATTGAGCATCGTTGAGCACGAAGCCGTCGTCAGAAGGGTCAGCTCACGCAGATACGTCGACTTTAAATTCAACTCAAACTAGTTTTATTTATCAAGTTTTTACAAATCATACTGTTCCTTGAGAAGTTGTTAAATATTAGTAGATAACGCCGTGCATTAACTCTCAACTCGCACTTCACTGAATAATGTTCACATATTAGTAATGTGCATCCGTGTTCACATGTAGCAGCTTGAACAGTTTAACATCTTTTACAAACACGCTCTCTGAATATGTTTGTGCACAACATGAATACATGTATTTTACTGGTCATAACTCTTATTTTTATCTGTGTATTTAGGAAGCTCCCTATGTGATGCTAAAGAAGAACGCCGAACTGTTTCAAGACAACGACCAGTACGAAGGTACGTACGTAGTTTACGTCATTATTTGTGTTTATTGGTCAGCATCAATAAGGCTCCTTAACTTCTTTAGACTTTCATTTATTGTTTAATAGATCCTGTCCTCAGAGAGTCAGTTTCTTTATTGTCGTTCCACCACATGTGGTACATGAGGTGGAACGAGTTTATGTACACAGGGTCCCAGTTACATCCAACAATAAAATGTAAAAGAAAAACAGTGATAACATCTAAGATATGAACTAAGAAAAACATCAACTAAATACACGCTATTTACACGCTCGTCTCAGCCGTCTGAGGAAGTAGAGTCTCTGATGATCTTTCTTCATCAGGCTGGTGGTGTTGTTGCTCCAGCTGAGGTTGTTGTTCAGGTGCACACCCAAGTACTTGTAGCTGGAGACCACTTCCACCACAGATCCTCTTATGTAAGAAGTCTAGTACCCAGTTACAAATGGAGGAACTTAGTCCTAGTGTGTGTAGTTTGTCCATCAGGGTTTGGGGGATCATGGTGTTGAAGGCAGAGGTGAAGTCCACAAAGAGCATACGGACGTAGGAGTCCTTCTGCTCCAGGCGGGTGAGCGCAGTGTGGACCACAGAGGAGATGGCATCTTCTCAAGTTCGGTTCTCACAGTATGCATACTGATGAGGGTCCTCGTTGATGTTGATGCTTGTTCTGATGTGAGTCATGACCAGTTTTTTGAAGCATTTAGTGACTCTCAGGGTGAGGACCACTGGCTGCTAGTCATTCAGACCAGTCACTGTAGAGCTTTTTGAGACTGGGATGATGGTGGTGGTCTTCAGGCAGGTGGGAACTATCTCCAGGGTGAGTGAGGAGATAAAGATGTCGGCCAAAGTAGTCAAACTGAATTTTCAACACAGTGAAATTCAGTGTCAAACCATTAAATTCAGTTTCAATTTAGTGAAATTCATTTTCCAACCAATGGATTTCGTTTAAATTATGTGAATACAGATTCAGTCTGAACGATCCAGTTTCTGATGGCTCAAGTTTCTGCTCATACAGAAACGCATCATACCCTCATCACTTACAGTTTTTACATACATCAACACTTTAGTGCCTTTTTTCTAAAACTTTCAGACTTTCACACAGTTTTTTTATCTTTGTGTAAGGTTACTGTGTTGACCTGGCAGCAGAAATTGCCAAACACTGTGGTATACGCTATCAGCTAAAGATTGTTGGAGATGGGAAATACGGAGCAAGAGATGCTGAGACCAAAATCTGGAACGGTATGGTTGGAGAGTTGGTTTATGGGGTAAGATTTCAAAGTCTCACATATGTACATCATAAATAAACATTTCAAAAACCTGTTTTATGTTTTTAGTAGCAGTGCAGATGTGATATGGTTGTGTTGCAATAAAATGTGCTTGGAAATGTAGACGTTGGCATTTCTTCTGAGATAAGGCCTAATGTTTTGCAGCAAACGTTAGAATGAGTGACTCATGCCTTGTTACTGCTCGGCTGGACTACTGCAACAACTTTATCCTGTGGTCTGTTCCTCTCGCCCGTTTTCAGATGCTGCAAACTGCACATCTTTTACCTGGCACAAAAACATCATATTACACCTGATTTGAAGTCTCTCCATTGGTCTAAATTCTCAAATCAGAACCTTGTTTCTTGGTCTTTAAAGAGGAATTCAAACAATATATCAGAACTCTTCAGTCTTCAATCAATAGTAAAGCCATTAAAACAATTGATATGTGTACCCACCAGCATTTTTGTGACTTAATTTTATTTTTTTATTTTAAATGTGTGTATGTATGTATATACACTTCATTCTATTTGTGTTCGCTTCATAACCCCCTGGCATTATTGTCTTGTTCATTTTGTTTTATAATGTTGATAGTTTTTTTGTAATTTTGTTAACACTTATTGTCAATAAAAAATAAATAAATAAATAAATAACCTGCACAGAAGTTCTCTGGGGGGTGGGGGGTGCGATAGACAAAGCTTTTTATCCCTAGTTACCCATGTCCCAGGAGAGATTTGATAGTTGGCTCGTATCTGAGGCCAAACGGGGGAGTCAGATTTAGATCTGTTAGCTTTCAGTCCGGTCACGTCCCAGTCACGTGAGTTATAATAAGGTTGACTCCAGTCCCGCCGGAATTCCTCCGGAATCCCATGACCTGCGGTACTCCCGAAAAAATGTCATCCTCTAATGCTGACGAGTCCTAGGAGCCTCAGGCGGCCTGCAATTCTCACAAATCGCCTTCATCTTACGATTTAGCTTGTAAATCAGCTGATTTTGAGTCCTCATAGCACAAACCAAACCTTCACACTGACTTAGAAGCTTTGTCGTGGCTGAAACTGCTGCCGAAGTCTTCTTCAAAAGTCGATAAAACAGAACCCCGCCGATGCCAAAGAGCAGAACCCCTTCTATCATAAATCCAAATATATAAACGTCTTCAGCGTCCTCCTGAGTCAGAACGGAGAGACACATGAGCTGCCAAACTCCCCACGGATCGCTGATGTACCTCGCAGCATGAGTCTCAGTCGGACAAGAGGGTTCTCCAGGACCCTGTCATTTTGTTGAAAAGATTTTATCGATTGCGTTGAAATTCCAGCTCACCAGATCCATAATCATATTTTTCATTCGGGAGATGTGTACCAGGAGCTTCAAACACACAGAGAGCAGAGCAGGAGGAAGAAGAGAATGGGGGACAGTGTTGCCAGATTGGGCAGTTTACCGCCAAATGGACGGTTTTCATTCTGATTTTGCTGGGAACTCTGGGAAGATATTTGTTGGATTGTTGTGTTTTGCCACATATTGTTAAATTACCTTGGCTTGTACTGATGTGTGTTCATGTTCAAACAGTAAATATAATGTAACAATACACTGATTGGGCAGGTTTTTGTGATGTGGCGGATTTTAACAGATTTTTGGGATGGGAAACCTCGACTCTATCTGGCAACACCGACGGGGGAGGGAGAGCAGGAGCATCCGCCTTGATCGAGAGCCAGAGTAGAAAAAAGGGCCTGTTATCTACCTGGGTGATTGAACTTACAACCCTTTTTCTGAACCACTTTGGTCTTTGTTGTCCTCAGGCTGCTTCTGTGAGTAGCAAGTTGACCACCTGGACTACAATATTTGATTGTTCATGATGATTGATGGTTGTGGATGTGTTAAAAGTCTACTTCTGAGATTCCAACAGGAGGTGGTCTTGAAACAGCAGTGAAGGCTACCTATGGGACAGATCTGGTTGGCAGGCTGTAGACTGAGGAAGTCCTCTGGATGGGGGACGAAACACTTCTCACTAAAGAAACTGGTCCAGATGACGCAGTTTAACCTTTTTTGTTGTTATCTACCTGCATGATTGAGCATACAACCCTTTTTCAATATACCTATAGTTATTGAGGCAGTTCACTGAATAATTTTTTGGCGCTGGGACTATTGTGGCAAATTTTATGCAAGGGGGATGGCAGATCTTGTAGCAAGAGGTAAACACCTCTCCTAACTGGTATGCACAGTCCCTGAGGATATTTCTGGTGATTCCATCTGAACCAGTTGTCTTCCTCATTGATTTTGTTCAGAGCGACTCTGAACTGGTGTCAGCTAGATGGGGTTGTCTTTGTTTGCTGGATGTGGGCCGTTGCATTCTGCTGGTCAAAATGGGCAAAGGATTTACACAATTTTGGTTGGGGAACACTTTACTCGCTTTACTTTCCACCACATTCTGTGCTAAACGTTACATTTGAAAGGGCAGCTGTAGTGTGTCCTCCTAGGTCTGTCCCCTCAGCAATAACTCCCCACTCTGATCTCAAAACACTTCTGCAGGGTTCAGGTGGATTCCTCAGTCCACACTTTCACTGTTCTGAGAGATGGTCTTTGCCTGCAGCTGAGAGATTAGTTCGCTGGAATCAGCACATTCATTTCAGTTTATCTATGTATATAACACCAAGTCAGAACAGCTTTGTCATTTGTGCATACCTCACGGAAGTTGTCTCAGGGCACTGAACAGAAACATGCACATACTTTATAAAAGTCAATTAGTAAAAGTTCTCTACAGATTCAGAATAAGCTTTAATATCATTGCACCGAGATACAACGAGAACAGTTTCTGAGGAAGCAGCAGATTGTGTTGAATCTTCACTTCATCACAGTCTCTCATCCTGAGCAAGAACAAAGGAGACAGTGGGAAGAAAAACTCCCTTTAACAGGAAGAAACCTCCAACAGAACCAGGCTCAGGACGAGCGGACATCTTTTTCGACTGGCTGGGTTTGAGAGGACAGGAAGTAGAAACAGACAAACTCAGAATGACAGGTCCAGGAGGACTTTCTATAGGAGGACAGATACAAAAAAAACATGTTAAGATAGAAATAATTACAAATACAAACAGTAAGATCTGTATTATAAGATGGAGCTAGGTTGTTGAGAGCTTTGTAGGTTAGAAGTAAGATTTTGAATTCTATTCTGGATTTGACAGGGAACCAATGGAGAGAAGCTAAAACTGGAGAGAGATGATCTCTCCCAGTAACTCCAGTTAAGACTCTGGCAGCAGCATTTTGGATCAACTGAAGACGTTTTAAAGAAGTATTTGGACACCCAGATAATAAACCATCGCAATAGTCCAGTCTAGACGTGACAAATGCATGGACCAGTTTTTCTGCATCATCTTTAGATCAGATGTTTCTAATGTTAGTGATATTACGCAGGTGGAAGAAGGAGGTTCTAGTAACGTTTTTAATGTGGGGGATAAAAGACATGTCCTGATCAAAAATAACACCAAGATTTTTAACATTAGAGCTGGAGGACAGATTAATGCATCTAAGGAGGGAGAAGGACTGAAACATTCATTCCTAAGGTGCTCAGGTCCAAAAACCAAAACCTCAGTCTTGTCTGTTCAACAGGAGAAAATTAAGGGTCATCCAGGTTTTTATGTCTTTAAGACATGCTTGTAACTTCATTCATTCACTTAATCTTTATTTATACAAGTTAGTCTCACTGAGTCACAAGGACTCATTTTCAAGAGAGACCTGTTTTAAATAAAACCACAGATGTTGTACAGACAACAAGAAACAGCTGTAAAATGCATATAAAATGAAAAGTAAATACAATTAGTGATAAAAAATAAAATAAAACCAAGCTACATTATGAAACGAAGTAAAATACTATAACCAGGAACATGTCTGCATTGATTTTTGCATAGAACTTAACAATAGTTTAAAATCCCTTGGACAGGTCAAAGACGACAGCTTAAGTAACTTGAGTAACTAGAACTTACGTAGCTGATCGGATTCTCTGGGTTTCATGTACAAAACTGTGTGTCATCAGCATAACAATGAAAATTTATTCCATGTTATTTAATAACTTTACCTAATGGAAGCATATATAAAGTAAAGAGTATTGGTACAAGCACTGAACCCTGAGGAACTCCATGACTAACTTTGGTGTATGATGAAAATTCATTATTTACATTTACAAACGAATCATATTCCAGGATATTAAAAACATATTCCTGGATCATATTCAAGCCTCTGTAGTAAAATATTGTGATCAACTGGATTAAACGCAGCACTGAGGTCTAACAGGACCAGTAGAGACACAAGTCCATTGTTTGAGGCCATGAGAATATCATTAGTGACTTTCACCAGTGCAGATTCAGTGCTGTGGTGAGCTCTAAACCCTGACTGAAATGAGATCCAGTTCTGACACTGCAAACGACATGACCAGACCCTCTCTTTATGTTTCCTACAGAAAGCAGATATAGCGGTTGCTCCACTAACCATTACACTTGTTCGTGAAGAGGTTATTGATTTCTCCAAACCCTTCATGTCTCTGGGAATCTCAATCATGATCAAAAAGCCTCAGAAATCCAAACCAGGAGTCTTCTCCTTTCTGGACCCCTTGGCCTATGAGATCTGGATGTGCATCGTCTTTGCCTACATTGGCGTTAGTGTCGTACTCTTTCTGGTAAGTAAACCTGTTCCTGACGCACCTACACTGTCATCACGGCTGTCAGTCATTCTTTGTTTATTGATTGTTTAGTCATTTATCAAGACATTATACAATGTTGTTCACAAGATAAAACTGTACAAACACAAGCACTAAAAGAAATAAAACAAGTCAATAAATACTGTAAATTAAGAAGTGGGGTGTAAAAGAAATCAAATGGTTTACAATGTTTTTACCTTGGTCACATGACGGGTTCATTTCATGATTCTGCACTAAGGAGGTAAAGATTTGAGCTCCTCCTCAAACGGTGTCCACTTGCAACAAGATTTTTCTGAACTACCTTCACTGTTAGTAAAATCTTCTCCACCTTCAAAAATGTCCTGACAGTGTTAAGCGTCTTTGAGTATTTAGACAAGTGCTATACAAATAAAATGCAATATTATTATTATTATTAAAATGTATTGTAAGTCATAGTAATGTAGACGGAGGTGTGGGAGATTTCCAGAAGAGTAAAATGCATCATCTTGCAAGAAGGGAACAGAAAGCTAAAGTCTCCTTTTGCAGGGGAGACTCCGAAGATGTCAGTTAGTGGGTCCCTTTGGATCTGGGTTCTAAAAACCCCTGAAAGTCCAGAACTCATACAAACTTGGGCAGAATAAAAACATGACTCAAGTTGAAGGTGAGGTCTGACAAATGTCGCACTGGACTAAAGTTGAGGGAAAGATTTTAGATAAACGGGATTTTGAGAAGTGGACTCTGTTTATTACTTTGAACTGTAGAAGCTGTGATCTAGCACAAGGTGTAGACAATCATCTTATCCCACCGTGATTCACACAGTGCAGCACTTAATCCACGCTCCCAGGCAGTTCTGATTTTACCACAAGTCAGACTCACTTGTCACCAGTGATCCATATATATATCAGTAAGGGCTGATTTCTGAGTCGGCCTAAGAACCAGCAGGTCAACTCATGGTGGGTCAGCAGGGAAAGATGGACAATTTAGAAACAATGCTGAAATACAGTGTCTGATTTGGAAAGAGAGAAACAAGTAAGAAGGAGGCAGGTTACATTTTGAAGACAATTCTGAAAAACGAAGAAAACGCCATCAGTTTGTAAATCAAGGTCAAGATTCTTTGTCATCTCACGTGGTACATGTGGTGGAACGAAACTGTGTACACAGGGTCCCAGTTACATCCAACAGAAATTCAAATTGTAAAGAAAACAGTGATAAGATCTAAGATATGAACTAAGAAATACGTTAAACTCAGAACACACGAAGCACTGATGGGACAAAACAATGTGCCAAACAACAGCAGCACGAACATGAGTCTGTGTGAGCAGATGAGGACCAATGAACACAGCAGCATGAAACAACATGAAACAGATCCTGGTGATGCTTCGATCAAGTCTGTGATGGATTAACGGCATCTTGTTTGTCAATATCCTGAATTTTTCTTCAGATTTCTGATGCTGCGATTTTTGTTCATATTCGCTGAATAAGAAATAATCTGGTCATGGAGAAATGCTTTCAGTGTTTCCCACAATAATGACAAAGAAACTGAGTCACTTTTACTAAAAGTGAGAAAATCATCAACTACTGATAAAATGAAATGATTGAACAGATCATCCGATAACTGGAGAGTATTAAATGTCCACGGAGGACAGGAGTGAGGTCTGTCCATGAAGTTTATATGAAGGCTGGGGGGCACGATCCGAACCAGTGACTGGCTGGTACTCAGAAGACGTGAATTAAAGAACCCTCAACAGCAAACAGTCTATACGGGAACAGGACTGAGTACCTGAGAGAACAAAGAGTTCTTGTTGGTGGATCCAGCGTCGTCCGAGGATCAACATTGTGACAGAAGACTGGGTAAAGGTCCGGGTGAGCAGCGGTCTGATGCTGGGCTCATCGCACAGTTCAAGTCCCCACAAGACTTAGCAAAGGAGTATCAAGACCAGGAAGTGTGTTAGACATTAGGGCTGTGACTGTGTCTGCTGATTTCATTCAAAATCGATTTTTCCATTCAGAAACAATGTTTCTGATGAAATGATCATAAATTTTGTTTCAATTATGTAAATGACAAGATGAAAAGAATAAAGAACAATATAAACAAATAGAACATTTATTTAAAACAATCATTTTAGGTTCCTTACTGTATCAAATCTTTTTGCATCATTTTATATTTATACCCAAAATAGGAACAAATACAGGAGTGCATCAATTCTGTAACTTAAATTACCAGTATTAGCTTAGCTGCCTGGATTTTTCTAAAATAAAATAAAAATCTAGGAACAAATAATTAATCCATCGTCTTTATCCACTTCTTCCTTTACGAGTCACAGAGGTCACTGGTGCCACTGGTGTCCACATCAGCCATCACTGTGGGAGAGGTGGGGGACACCTGGACAGGTCTCCAGTCCATCACAGACAAATAATTCCATCCATCCATTTTCTTTACCCGTTTATTCCATTTTGGGTCACGGGGGTCGCTGGTGTCCATGTCCAACAATCACTGTGCAAGGGGCGGGGGACACCCTGGACAGGTCTCCAGTCCATCACAGGGACACATAGAGACAAACGAGACAAACAACCATTCACTCTCTCACTCACACCTAGGGACAATTTAGAGTTACCAATCAGTCTAACATGCATGTTTTTGGTCTGTGGGAGGAAACTGGAGTACCCGGAGAAAACCCACGCATGCACGGAGAGAACATGCAAACTCCACCCAGAAAGGCCCCTGGACCGGGGTTTGAACCAGGGACCTGCTCGCTGAGAGGCAGCAGCTCTACCAGTTGCACCACCGTGCTGCCCAAGAATAATTCTAAATATATAAATATAAAAGTAAACGGGCTTCATCCTACCATAGTTCATTAACCTTTAATTCAACATAAAATTCAAACTTCACAGTTATTTAAACCATATTGTTCTAACATTTGTTACATTTTCAAAACTGAACCTAACATGAAATATACAGACTTCAGTCTTAACATATTGATTCATATTTAGTAAATCTTTAACAAAATTTCAAAACCTGTGCAAGTTTGCACCAAAACTCTTCTGAACTATAATCATTTATAAACCATAAACTGTATCATTTAGAAGTGGCTCCAGATGTGTCTCATCTCTTCCACCTGTTAAAAAGACAAATTACATAAAGTTTGTTTTATAACTTGTCCATAAGTTTTAGTTTAATATGAGAAAAGCAGTTTCCTGCTTTGAGCTGCAGCTGCATCAGAGCTTCTCCCACTTTATTGTTGTTTCATGGTGAAGTTGTGGCGCAGCTTTATCACTAAAGAATCGACATGAAGTAATACCGTGCGTTGGGTCCAGCGTATTAAAATAAAGCTGAACCCGTCCCCTTCCACTGAGCCGTCTGATCATAAATGTTTGTGATGCAGCAGAGATGGAGAGGGAACTCTTCACAGCCTTTGGAGGATCAGCTGGAAGTTTGTTGCAGCAGGTCGCCTGCTTCACTTTCATCTTCCGCACATTTTGTCTTATTTCCAAAATATTGTACCACAGTTTGATTTGATACTTCTTGCAAACAGCCGTGCTCTTGTGAAGCTCTGTCTTCCCCAGAACATTGTAGGATCTGAAAAGATTTTTAAAGACGAAGGAGCACGTTGAATCATGTCCTCCTGCTCCATGCTAACAGGCTCCATTCAGGTAAAGGGAGCTGGCTAACTAGCTGCTGTACGGTGGCCTACATGGCCAAATTCTACGGCCGAGTGGACACGTAATGTGATATGCAGTACGCTCGGGAGTAGGAACGGAAAAAAATTAAACACATTTTAAAATCCATTTATGGGCTTTTAGAATTGATTCAGAATCGGCAGAACTCAGAATCCATCCATCCATCCATCCATCCATCTATCCATCCATCCATCCATCCATCCATCCATTATCTTTACCCGCTTATTCCATTTTGGGGCACGGGGGGTCGCCGGTGCCCATGTCCAGCAATCACTGTGCGAGGGGCGGGGGACACCCTGGACGGGTCTCCAGTCCATCACAGGGACACATAGAATCTAGATTCTTTAATAAATCTATTTTTTTCTGCACCTCTACTAGACAAGTTATTTGTAAAATCTGGATTATCAAAATTTGGAGCATGAATGTTCACCAATAAAATTGGGGCGGCTGTGGCTGAGTGGTCCGAGCAGTCGTCGTCCAATGCAAGAGTTGGGGGTTTGAATCTACCAGCAGCCACATGTTGAAGTGTCCCTGCAGCGTCACACTTACTGCTCAGCTAACATGCTACAGACGTAGCTCCTCTCAAACGTCCTCCCAACATGAATATATGTTGATGATCAACCCCCCCCCGTCAACAACTGTCCGCACTAAGCTGCTACACTGGCGAGTGAGCAGCACAGAGGCGTCTCCACCTCCTCCACCTGTGCACGTTTTCTGCCGAGGCAGAAGAGAGCTGGAGGGAGCCAGGAAAACCTGGAATGGACTTTTAGTGGTTTGAGTATTCTCCTATTAATCAAGTGGAATAGATTCAATCACGAAGAAAGAGAAACTGCACCGCCTGAACTAATGTTTCATAGTAAAAGTGGGGGGGTCCAAATGAACGTATTTTTAATGTGGGGGGGACTTGTCCCCTTAACATATAATGGTTGCAACGCCTGTGGGCTCTGGAATAAGTGAGTAGAAGCTCACCTTCCACATCTGGAAACGTCTGGCACGTATGCAGGAGTTTAAGAGGATAAGCGCCAGGAGCCGTCTTTGTGTGACTGATTCCAACGTGCACGTACACACACACTCTGACTGATGCCACTATTCCAATGTGCACGTACACACTCACTCTGACTGATGCCACTATTCCAACGTGCACGTACACACACACTCCAAAAAACAAGAAGCCAAAAAGGCCAAAACAAATAAAAGCGGATAAAACAAGAGCAGCAGCAGTAGAAGCACTCGAGACGGGGTCGCCAGCAGAGCAGCGCCCCCTTATGTTGACGTGACTGAGTTTGTTGTGGCTCCTCAGACTGATGAAGTCCTTTGGATGAAGGACGAAACGTCTCATCAAAAAACAAAACTGTCCAGATGACCTGACTGAACTTTATTGGATTTTATACCTGGATTATTGAGCACGAACTTTGATGTAGCTTAGCTACATTAGCATGCTGACACGTGACACGTGACACGTGACATGTGACATGTGACATGTGGCTGTCAGTGATTCTAACTGAAAATGTGCTTTCCAAATATGACTACATGGAAAAGTAGTATTTTCTAATTTGATTATTCACTTTAGATTATCCTTAAAACAATCTTAGCATCTCTTAAAAAACTGTAATTAATTTGATAACATTTATTTTATACACAAAATAAACAGAAAAACCTGTAAAATTATTCATTTAGTCTATGAAAAGTTATAAAAGGGAATTTAGGCTGGAACCTGAAAACGTTAAATTTACCGTGCTGTGTAAATGTTTTCAGCCACCTTTCCATCAGAAGGTGAGCGATAAGTTTGTCCTTTTGTCTGTGCGAGCGTTTTCTCTCGGGTTAGCAGAAACTCTCATGAACTGCTGGATGAACGTTAACCTCGGGGCAGAAACGTCTCTGGCTCGTGGTTCACTTCCTGTAAGATAAACACATTTGTCACTTTCCTGCAGGGTCATGTCAGTTTGACCCAAAACCATCCCACACCCTTATTGATGTATTAACCTTTATTTAATCAGCCTCATCCCACTGAAATCCAGATGTTTGTAAGGGAGGCCTGGACCTGAAGGCGGCCTAACGTGCATGTTTTGGGACTGTGGGAGGAAAATGGGAGTTCCCAGAGAAAACTCACGCAAATGCAAGGAGAACATGCAAACTCCACACGGAAAGACCCCAGATCCAGTCTGGGCATTGAACCCAGAACCTTCCTGCTGTGAGGCAACAGTGCTAACCACTGAGCAGCCACGCTCCCAACACTGAGCTTAGATGTGGCGTGCTAGAAGCTGTAAACTGATCTCATGAGGTTTGTGTTTTAAACTTTGGCAATAACTACCATTAATCTTTTATGAAGAAATCTCATGAATCACAGATTTTTATAGAAAATACTTCCATGTATTTTCACACCTGAGTAACTATTTGTGTCAGTTCAGTTTAAAATGTCAGCTACTGATCTTAGAAAGCACTTTTTAAAATTCTTTAATTAAAATACTGTAGTTTGACACATACTGTGCTAAAAAGTTGTGTGGTAGTAGCTGAGAGTCATTCACAGCACTTACTCTGAGTGCGGTGCATTGTGCAGGATCCCTGTTGAAAAGCTCAGTAGTGTTGGAGTCAACCGTGCTTGTCTGTTAACAAAATATCTCACGACTTGTGCACTGAGTCCAATTCAAGATGGCGTCCACAAGTGAACAACAGGCACGTCACTGTGTCCGTGTTCCTCAGACTGAGGTTTCTTTGTGCTTGGCTGTCTTGCTGTGTTGCATGGCTTGTGTGGAAGCAGCAGTAACCAAATGTCCACAGTTTCATCAGTTCTTAACTCAACATGGTCTGGGTTTCACATTTTGGCACAAACCATGGTTAGTATGCGTTCCTGTAGTAAAGTAACTCCTGTGGCTCGTATCTGAAGTAACGTGTTTAAAGTCCAAGCTGTGTCTCCTGACAGTCCAACGTTGCATCACTGCAGGTGTCCAGATTCAGCCCGTATGAGTGGACCCTTGAAGAACCGGAGGACGGAGCGCTGCCTCTCACAACTGAATCCATTAATGAGTTTGGGATCTTCAACTCTCTTTGGTTCTCCCTGGGGGCTTTCATGCGTCAGGGTTGTGACATCTCACCAAGGTTGGTGTCAGAGTTGACTTGGACTGCACTCCTTTATTGTTTGGTCCTTTTGGAGTATTTCTTACTGCCAACTTCTCCATGTTTTTTTTTATTGTAGATGCACAAAAGACTCATAGATGTCTCATATTTTCCAATAAACAGACACCAGACAGCTCATAACTGCTACTATATAAATAATTTTAATTATCTGTTTTCAGCTCTCAAATGGAAACCAAGGTGTTTATATATATATATAAAAGTAAACTAGAAATATAGCTTTTTATTTTTTGTAAAGCAGTGTGACATTCATCTGACTGTTTGCTGAAATTTGCTGAAGAACAAAAGATTGAATTGGATAATTAAAACAAAAAAAGAATCTGAAATGAGAAAAAACAGAAGAAGCAACGAGAACAGATCAAGAGAACTTCCAGGGATGTTTTTCAGGCTTTGGTCAAAAACAGACTTTATAGAAGAGCAACAAACTAAACAAGTGGTGTCGTGTAAACATGTGCAGATTTAATATTAGCGAATGTAGCATTCCTTCACACAATGTCAATTTTGAGAATTATTAGTTTTATAAGCCTAACAAACAAAACAACAAATCTGGCACTGGATGGGCCTAACTAACTCATGTCCTAGCCTGGATGAAGTCTCTGCCTTCTTCCACGTCAAGGATTATTTTAACGTCTCAATGTTTTGTGTAGTCCAGATGTTTTGTTTAGTCCAGATGTTTTGTGT